TTGTTGATTAAATAAATGTCTAATTATTTCAAAAACATATATCAAAAACAACAAATATGTTGTTTGATTTTTTCTTCTATTATTTTCTAATATAAAAATAAATAAAATTATAAATTAAATTAAAAATTTTTTTGTTTGTTTGTTTAATGACATTTAAAAACAACAACAAACAAAAACTAATAATACCTTTTTCTAATTTATTGATTAATGTGACAGTTATTGAAATTAGAAAAATAGTAATTATTAATAATATCCAGATATTTATTGTAAAAATATTTAGCATTTCTATTAAATTAGACATTTGTTTAACAGATTGACTTAATATAACCAAATTATATTGTTCTGAATACCAATGGGTTCGTGAAAAATCATTTAAATATTCATCGATTGTCATCGGATTTAATGTTAGATCTGTTTCCTTTTAATAAATTAATTTTTTTTAAATATAAAATTATAAATTTTGTTTAAAAAATTTTTGTTTTTTTAAAAAAAATAATTTATTAAAAAATTTTTTTACCGGATATTCCTGAAAATATGCTTTTATATTATCTTCATATTGTTTGCTAACAATTTTTAATGTTATATTAAATCGATAGTAATTTTGTATTATATTTAATAATTCATTTTCAATATTACACAACCACTAAAATAATATATAATTTTAATTATAAATTTAAAAAAAATAATAATTTTAATTTTTTTTATAAATATTCAATCAATACCTCTTCAGTTGTAAACAAAATAATTGAATTATTGTTTGAATTATCTCCTAAATAATGATTACCAAAACCATAATTATAACAACCATTTAAATTTAAATTCATAGTTATTACTAATATTTGATTAATTTTATTGTTGTTGTTGTAAAATAATTTATTTGTTATATTTTATTATATTTAATTAATAATGTCTTTATTATAATTTTCTTTAAAAAAAATTATTATATAACTAAATCTCAAATAACATTAAAACTATAAAAAATTATATTTTAATGAAATATATAAACTGACAAAAATTGTTTAAAAATAAGTTCACTTAAATATACTGTAGATAATAATAATTATTAAATCAATTTCAACAAGATAAAATATAAATAACATAATTATTTTATTTAAATCATTATTTTATGTTTTAACATTTAGTTAAAATACATTTACATTAAAAATATAAGTACAGTACAGTTGATTACATATAAATTGTTGTATAATACCGTATATTACATATTATTAAAAAAAATCAATTACTAATATATTGATAAAAAATACCAAATAAAACTAAATATTATTAGCTATTTATTAACAAAACTTTTTTAATAATAATTGTAATTACAATAAAAATATTGTATCTATTATTTATGTATTAATTGTAAAAAAAATTATAGTGTTTTTACTATTTGTAATAAAATTTTTGTCTTTATATTAATAAAGATTTTAATAGTAAACATGATATTCAATAAAAAAATCAATTATTAAAAAAAAAACATAAAGCGATTGATATAAATATTGAAAGTCCAATAAACGAAAGTCATTAATAATTACTAAATCAATATTTTTTATATATAATCATTAAAATTGCAATCGCTACTAAAATCACCATGTTGCTTTAGTTGTAAATGGTTTTTATCAAAATATCGGTTATTTATTATCAATATTATTATCAATAATTGAAAAATTGTTTTTTTTAAAAAAAATTCGGTAATTATTTAATTTACATCAAAGTTTGGCATCAAATTTATAACAACAACAAAAAAATGATTAAAAATTTAACTTTTCATTGATATCTTCAGTCAACTTCTTAATTGTTTCGTCCAATTGATTCATTTCTGCCTTCATTTTCATCAATTGTTTAATCTTTATTTTCTTGCGATTCAATACCGATTGAAGTTTATTCAGATAACAGTCGTCGTCATTGATATCATTCATATCACTTAAGAATTGAATTTATAATACAATTAAATAAAAAAAATATAATTAAAAAAAATTAAATAAATTTTTAAAAAAACAAAATTTTTTATACCTTATATTTATGTCTTGTGTTGACAACGATTGGATCAATTCAGTGACACTTATTTTGTCGCCACTACTACTGCTGTTATTATCGCTGATATTATCATTCAATTGTGAATTAACTGATGATTGATCGCAACATTGGTTATCGGTTTCCGAGTCGTCGTCGTCGACATACAAATCAGTCAAATATTTATGGTCACCGCAGCCGACGGTAGTGGCGGTGGTCACCGACAACAACAGTGCATCGGTAATGGCTTTTGTTTGATTAGTCAAACATTTTGTGATTGTTTCCGCAAACTTTGCTATATTAGTATTGATTTGATTCATACTATTAATAATAAACAAAACAAATATATTTTTATATATATATTAATTGAATTAATAGGTAATTGAATAATAAAAAAGTAAATCAAATACTTATTGTTTGTGTTGTCGGTTAGGGTTTTGGTTTGATTAGTAAAACACTCTCTCGTTGTTAACGACTGTTCCGTTAGTTTATCACTAATATTACGACTAATAACAAAAAAAATATAATAAATTAAATAATAATTAAAAATTATTATTAAAATAAATATTTTTTTTAAATACCTTAATATTTTTAATTTAATAATTTCCTTGATATCAATGTTTCCATAATCATCTCTATTGCCTATAATCTCAATCATACTGTTAGCAAACTGGCCGTACAGCCAGGCCCTGCTTATGGGCATATCATCCCTGAGCTCTAATCTATTATAACCGGGTAATAGTAGTTTTTTCTGCTGAACTTTTTCCGTCAAATATAGTTTATAACTATATTTTGAATCAATAGGCGAATCAATTTTAATACTAGTCCTCAAGCGTCCAATTGTTTGAATAGTTAACGGATTGATACTAATAGTAAACGGTTGGATAGGTTTCCAGTAAATACCGTAACAGATATGTTGTTGTTTTTCTATACCAATCAATTTTAGACAAACTTTTACCGACGATGGCCTAATCACTAGCCGAACCACTCGTTGTTGTTGTTGTTGGCCATCAACAGTATCACCGCAGAAACTGATGGTATCGCCAGTGACCAGACTAGTGGTGATGCCGTCATCGGACAGTTTATACAACTTTAACCCGATATTATCCCAGTCGGCCACCGCCTGTTTGAACAGATCGGTCACTTGGACTACAGTAACCCTATGCGGACAATAACCGTACGGATAGTCATCCAGGTGTTCGGCGAGTGCTTTGCGTGATATCTGACAGTAAACTGTTTGGTGATCAACGGATCCGCAAACACAATGGATGGTCACCGACGACAACATTATTGATAGTCGATATTAATAGATAATTAATTAAAACAATTTATTAATTGTGAGATTATATAGTGTATACTATACACTGTATAGTCAACTATATACACACTTGCTATACAAATATGATTTTAACTAATAATAAGTACAGTACTAGTTATATACAGTATATAATATAAAGTTTTATATTTAATAAATTTTTTAAGCAATGAAACTTCTTTCAAAAAATAAAAATTTTATTATTCAATAAACAAAAATAACATCCAATCCTCATGTTGTGTATGGGATGCTAATGGTGTGTAAAAATTTATGATAAAAGTATTAATACTGTATCTACAGTAGGGTTAGTTAGTATACCCTATACAGAGGCTTACTATTTGTAGTGTAACAGTACTACTAATTTTTATTACCCAATAAATTATTTGGTCAATTAAACAGAGGGGGGGGGCTGTAGATAGTAATACCTACTCGACTGTCAGTACAGACTCTACTATAAAGCTGGGATCAAATGTTCATCAAATGGGGTACACTTTACACACACACACACATAACTGTACTGTAAATTTGATGGATGAGAGAGAGAGAGAGAGAGARAGAGAGAGAGAGAGAGAGAGAGAGAGAGAGAGAGAGAGACTCATGTATTCAGTAGTATTAGTAAAACAGTATTAAATTAAAAAATTATGAGAATATTTATTAAAAAAAACAATATTTAAAATTTTAAATCGTGTAATAACTTTTTTTTTTTTAAAAAAAACATAGAGTTCCCTATTTATAAAAAATGATTTAATAATTTTAATACTATAGATATTATAATTAATAATTTAGATGCAATACGTTTTTTAAATTATAATTAATATTTATGTACAAAATAGTATTTTTTAAAATAGTAATATCTGAACAATAATACAGATAATAATTAGGAAAAAATTATTGATTTAATTAATTATAAACTATTAATATAATAATTATATATATAGAGAGAGAAAAAACACAATAATAAAATATATATATATAATTGAAAATCAAATAAAATACAAGAAAAAACTGATAATAATTATAATAATAAATAAAGTTTTTTAGTAAATTTTATAAATATTATAAGTATTGAATTACACTAAAAAAAACATATTTTGTTGAGGAAAAAACTATTCAAAAATTTTTTTGTTTTATAAATGGTATTATTAAATTTTAAAACTTTATTTCAATACTAATAATAATATAATTTATTTCAATAGTTTACTTCAATCAGTATTGTATTTACTAATAGTTTTTTTTGTGTATTGTATTTGAATTGCATTAAAATTTTTAAAACATTAAAAACAATATCAAATCAATAGGGAAAGTAATTAAGTTAAATGTATGAATAAATGTATAATTAAAATAATAATTATTATTAATTAATAAACTGTAATCGAAATTAATAAAAAAAAATAATTTTTAAGGCTTATAATAGTTTCAAAAAAAATTAATTAATGATATAAATTTAATTGTAATGCAAATTTATAAAACAGTATCATTGATATAAAAAAAAGTATATAATTTTTTTTAGTCAAACATTATTATTATAAATTCAAAAATTAATTTAATCTTATGTTTTAAATAATAAATAATAAATAAATTCATAGTTATTATTGTCTCGTAAATTGAATTTAGATTTTAGTTTTTTTTTATAAAATGAATAACCTATTCAATTGAGTCAATCAATTGATTATTAATTGTTGGCTAAGTTTGAATTGAAAAAAACTTAATCAAAAAAATTGTTTGTCTTTTTTATAACCGATTTGTGAGTTATCATCAAATTTTTATTTTTTCTTAAAAAACTATGTCATCGATGAAGATATCATTTTATTTATCTGAGATTACTAACAATTATTTGAATATTCATTGTCTGATTGGTATTTGATTTTGTTTTTTGTGTTTTTTTTATAATAAGTAATAAATCTGAATATAACTGTATTTTTTTTTTAATTATTCAATGATTAAATTAGCCATAGTTTTGTGGACAGTTATACTTATTGTCGGCGATCGGACATCACTGGTGGTCGCCGGCGGCGGTATCGACTTCTGCGACAAATACAAAGCTAACGACTACAAGATATCGTTTGCTTACGGCGTCTACAATCACAATCTGACCGATAAAGAACTGGACGACAAATGGATGAAGTATTTGATTGTCGACAAGTATTACTGGCGACTCAAGTTTACCGACGGTCCGGAGGCCAACAAATCGGTCGAATTTGTCGACAGTGTCGGCGGCGGTGGCAGTGAATCCAGTATTATCAATGAAAAAACATACGAACTGATTTGGAACGTATGGTTCGCTTCGGGTGATACCGGAAGACTTAAAGGACATGATTATGCTTATCATCGATTTGGCGGACGAGAGGTAAGAGGGTTTGGGTGTGGGGTTAGACAGAGATAGAGATAGAGATAGAGATAGAGATAGAGATAGAGATAGAGATAGAGATAGAGATAGAGATAGAGATAGAGATAGAGATAGAGATAGAGATAGAGATAGAGATAGAGATAGAGATAGAGATAGAGATAGAGATAGAGATAGAGATAGAGATAGAGATAGAGATAGAGATAGAGATAGAGATAGACATAGAGATAGACATAGACATAGACATAGACATAGACATAGAGATAGAGATAGAGATAGAGATAGAGATAGAGATAGAGATAGAGATAGAGATAGAGATAGAGATAGAGATAGAGATAGAGATAGAGATAGAGATAGAGATAGAGATAGAGATAGAGATAGAGATAGAGATAGAGATAGAGATAGAGATAGAGATAGAGATAGASATAGACATAGACATAGACATAGAGATAGATCAGAGATATCATCGATTTGGTGGACATGAGGTATGAGGGTTTGGGTGTGGGGTTAGAGATAGATAGATAGATAGATAGATAGATAGAGAGAGAGAGAGAGAGAGAGAGAGAGAGAGAGATAGAGATAGAGATAGAGATAGAGATAGAGAGAGAGAGAGAGAGAGAGAGATGGGGTTGATATACTGTATGAATATATTGTTTATTTCACTTACTATCTTTTACTACTACTACTACTACTACTATTACTACTACTACTACTACTACTACTACTACTACTACTACTACTACTACTACTACTACAGAGAGGCTTGACTTGGATCAATTGGTATCAACTCGACAACAATCTCGCTTTTATAGCGATCACACAGAATAGTATGTATAATCTAACTGTCGCTGACTTTAAGCCACAGTTTGCTTGGGTGTCGACCGTCCGAAAGGGTAGAGAATCGCGATTTGTCACCTTTTGGGACAATTTCACTACAAATGTCTACAACTTTACTGATCCACAGTTCATGCAATTAGTCAAACGGACAAACAGTTCGGAGGACGAACCGATACTTTTCGGTGATAACGAACGATCGCTGGACAAGAGTCTCAATATTATCGGTATTATCGGTCAGTATAGTTTGGCAGACAATGATGGCCTAAACAAAAGTTTTTGTGGACACGGATCCATTGTTTTCATGAACTTCGGCGAGTCTATCAAATACTGTTATGTTGGCAATCCGTTTATCAGTGATTCCGTATGTGTTTTGATGCGTTTTGTGAAGAAAAGGGGTGTAACCAAGTCCTTAACTAAACACATATATCTGTTTTTTTTTGTTCTGTATTTACAGTGCAAACCGGAAAACCTGAAGACACTGATCACATGCTCTACACCGACATTACCGACATCAGCGCCGCCGCTACCCGTTGTTAGTATTACTGAAAGTATTACCGATAGTACTACTGCTAAGCCTGACGACGACGGACCAAATTGGCTGTTAATACTTATACTGATTATAGTGGCAGTGGTTATACTACTTATACTGTTAGGTCTGGCCCTATGTTGTTGTTTACGCGGCAAAAGCGGTCAGAAAGTCGACGCCAACAAAGCTGACGGTAATATATATTTAAAAAAATATATAATTGTATTGTAATCTAATGTTTTGTTGTTGAAGTAATGTCGTCAATGCCATCGCAAGCATCGGGAGTTATGTCCACGCGATCTGGTTTTGGTAGTCCTGATGGTAGCGGTAAACAGCAATCAATGGTTTCGTCTAATATGGACAATATGTCCATTAGGTCAGGCGTTCAATCGCCGGGTAGTAGTAGTAGCGGTAAACAGCAATCAATGGTCTCGTCTAATATGGACAACGCATCGATTAGGTCAGGCGTTCAATCGCCGGGTAGTAGTAGCAGACAATCAGCAGCGGGCGGATCGCCGACATCGACGGCAGACAATGCAAATATGAGATCCAATTTTGGTGATGGGGTTGGTTCGCCCAAACAGTCACCACTGGCCAATGCGTCGACGTTTAGCAATCTCGACGATACAAACATCAGGTCTGCCAATGTTCAGTCGTCAGCAGCCGACCCGAAATCATCACTACTAGCGGCTAACAACCAGTCGACAGTCGGACCGTCGGCGGCAGCGGCGGCAAGCAATGTGAGCGCCAATGTTGACTTGAGGTCATCGATGCAAACATCGGGCGCCAAACAATCACAACAACCGATGACCAGTCCATCGATGGTCAGTCAAGCGAGTATGAGATCCGGTGTTTGAGTTTAAAACAGACATTAAGAGAGAAAACAAAATAACAAACAAAAAAAACAATTTATTTATCAATCAATCAATTTTTTTTTTATAAATTTATATTTAATTTTCGATTTGAATTGTTTATACTCTATATATTTAATATAAAAATTACACTTTATTTTATAACATTTTGAATAATAAATTAATAAACTAATTGTACATTTTTTTAATTAAATCATTTTTATTACAAAATTTTATGTTTATATATATATATTGCACACTAATTGTGCTGAACCTTATATATAGGGATTTTAAGCAATATTACTTTTGACCCATAAAATAGTTGGCAATTATTTTTGAACAAAAAAGTAATAAACATATAGAAATTTTCTATGAAATGGGCAAAAATGCTAAATTTAAAGTTTTAATACAAATATGATAATTAAAAATTATTGCTAAAATTTTAGTGAAAAGCTATTTTTAAACATAATGTACTTATACTTTACATATATACTTAATAAAGAGACATTTTATTTGGCGGCATATGTCCGATATCACCGACACTTTTAACAACTACCTGACCTTTCGGATAGATAGTAATCCAAGTAATACTACAGTTGTTTAACGTAAAGTTAAGCCAAGCTTCTGGTGGTAATTGTAAGGCTCGTAATACAAAATATCGGATAACATTTGCATGACATACAAGTATATCATAGCTATCGGCCGATTGCTGGGGATCTGATCGATGAAAATATTTTCTGAAAGCAGACTCTATTTATAGAGTTTATCGATAAACAAACAAATTATTTATTAATTTAATTAATTAATTCAAAACTATTACTACTAACCGATCCGAGCGCCGGAAACAAAGTACTCCTAATTTTTTTTATACAAAAAAAAATTAACCGAAAAAACAGAGAGAGAGAGATAGAGATAAAAAAAGTTATGGTTAGAAATAATTAATAATAAATATTATATTTAATAAATTAAAAATATTTAAATATTATATATAATTAACATATAATAAATCAACAAAAAATATTTAAATATTATATATAATTAATATATAATAAATCAACAAAAAATATTTAAATATTATATATAATTAACATATAATAAATCAACAAAAAAATATATATAAATATCATTAGTATAATAAAACCTTTGGTTTGCTTCGGCAGTTATCGGGACAGGGAATCGGCTCTATTGGATCTCCTTCTCTAATCAGATCGCAACTATCGACGGGAATATTATTATCATTATTATTATTATTAGCCAACTGTTTGCCAATAATTTCGGCCGTTTCGGTAGCTCTGGTCATTGTCGACTGAATCATTCGTGTATACGGATGACCTAATTGTTTGAGTCTGAGGCCCACTTGATCTGCCTGTTCTCTGCCCAATGGCGTCAATATTTGCAAACTATCCGTTTCTCCCGACTGGTTGTACTGTCCGTGTCTGATGAGAATCAGGTGTCGAGTGGCCACTGGTTTGGCTTTTTCTAGTTTTTCGTTATAATCATCTATTAAGTCGTCGCTATTAATTGGTTTCTCTACTAAACTTTTGGGATCTCTTTTATCCCAATTTGGGTCCCATTTGTAGCCATTACTACTAGTCATCAAATTTCCTGCTGTTGTATATGATTGTTGGTCATTGAAGTGATAATGATTTTGTATGACATTATTGGGATTATTAGCATCAGAAGCGGGTGTCTTAATGACGCCGTCCGCAGACACGGTATTAAGTGGGCGTCCACTCAGCTGAAGGTAAGCGCCGGTCGCACCGCAACCGGCCACCAAACCTACCGCAGCCGTTATTAATGACTTTCGGTTGACTCTCAATAATGGTATCATAATTACAATTGACTGGTTGTGTGTGTATTAAACTTAATAACTAATAAATACAGTACTGATTCAGTAACTATTTGTAAGTCATATATAATTATTGTTTAGTTTGAAATAAAAACTTTCAAATAAAAACTTTTTTTATATTTAATAATACATTTCAACTATTACTATACAAATAAAACATTTAGTTGAAAACTGTGTAATTCAATGAACAAACAGTAGTCTCTCTCTCTCTCTCTCTCTCTCTCTCTCTCTCTCTCTCTCTCTCTCTCTCTCTCTCTCTCTCTCTTCCCCCACACATACCACAAACCTTTCCCCACCAGTGTATGGGTTGGTGTTAAAAATGTGTTAACTTTTAAAAATTATATATACCATATATTTAAATGTAAAGATTATGTTAATTAGTTAAATGTGTGCATGTATGTGTGTGTGTTGGTGTGTGCTTATGTACCATATATTATTGGGGGCTCCAATATAGATATACCTCCATAGCTTAGTATGTATATATATATATATATATATATATATATATATATATATATATATATATACTGTAACAGTAATTACTTTTATAACAGAATCTGTATATATTTTTTTTGGTGGGGGTCTATAGGGGAAAAATTACTGTAAACTAATAGTACTACTGACTGATGCCTTATTATTGTACACTGAATTTCAAAAAGCATATTGACTTGAAGTTTGCAATAATAAATTTTTTTAAAAAAATAATAATTTGAATATATGTCTCTGTGAATATATATGATATTATATATAATACTGTAATATGGTATATATATATATATATATAAATATTTCTAATATACTGTATTATATATTTTTTTAAAAAAATATGAGATTATTTATAAAACTATATTAGTTTTTTTTAATAGTATAATAAGTTAATTATTTATAAGGCAATTATAATTATAATGCAAATAAAAAATATTTAAAAGATATTTTGTAACTAAAATTTTTTCAATAATTATAATTTCTAGGAATTAGATTAGGAATATATTACAGTTATAAGCATTTTGATAAATAATTATTATTAAATCAAATAATTATTATTAAATCAAATAATTATTATTAAATCAAATAATTATTATTAAATCAAATAATTATTATTAAATCAAATAATTATTATTAAATCAAATAATTTAAATTTAAGTTACAAAATAATAATATAAATAATATTTCTATGATATATATATATACTTAGTTATAGTATAGGTTAGTTAGTTATAGGTATGAAATATATTATAATTTGTTATTCTTTTAACTAAAACTAAATAAAAATAATATTTTTTTAAATTTTTTATTATACAATAAAAAATGTTATAAAATTAAAAAAATATACAGTATATATAAAATATAATATAATATAAAGTTAAATATATAGAGTATAAAAAATACAAATCGAAAATTATATATAAATTTTTAAAACAAAAATTGATTGAATGATAAATAAATTGTTTTTTTTGTTATTTTGTTTTCTCTCTTAATATCGGTTTTCTAATCTCTCAAACACCGGATCTCATACTCGCTTGACTGGCCATCGATGGACTGGTCATCGGTTGTTGTTGTTGTGATTGTTTGGCGCCCGATGTTTGCATCGATGACCTCAAGTCAACATTGTTGCTCACATTGCTTGCCGCGGCCGCTCCCGCCGCCGGTCCGACTGTCGACGACTGGTTGTTAGCCGCTAGTAGTGGTGATTTCGGGTCGGCTGCTGACGACTGAACATTGGCTGACCTGATGTTTGTATCGTCGCGATTGCTAAACGTCGACGCATTAGCCAGTGGTGACTGTTTAGGCGAACCAACTGCACCACCAAAACTGGATCTCATATTTGCATTGTCTGCCGTCGATGTCGGCGATCCGCCCGCTGCTGATTGTCTGCCACTACTACTACTACCCGGCGATTGAACGCCTGACCTAATCGATGCGTTGTCCATATTAGACGAGACCATTGATTGCTGTTGTTTACCGCTACCATCAGGACTACCAAAACCAGATCGTGTCGACATAGCTCCCGATGCTTGCGATGGCATTGACGACATTACTTCAACAACAACAACGATAACAATAAAAACATTAGATTACAATACAATTACATATATTTTTAAAAACAAATATATCTTACCGTCAGCTTTGTTGTCGTCGACTTTCTGACCGTTTTTGCCCCGTAAACAACAACATAGGGCCAGACATAGCAGTAGTAATAGTATAACCACTGCCACTACAATCAGTATAAGTATTAACAGCCAATTTGGTCCGTCGTCGTCGTCGTCGTCAGGCTTAGCAGTAGTACTATTGGTGATACTTTCAGTAACAACGGCGACGGGTATCGGCGGCGGTGATGTCGGTGTAGGGCATGTGATCAGTGTCTTCAGGTTTTCCGGTTTGCACTGGAAATACATAAAAATAAAAGATATATGTGTTTTAGTTAAGGACTTGGACATCACTTTTTTCTCCACTCACGGAATCACTGATAAACGGATTGCCAACATAACAGTATTTGATAGACTCGCCGAAGTTCATGAAAACAATGGATCCGTGTCCACGAATGCTATCGTTTTTGCCGCCACTGTCTGCAACACTGTACTGACCGATAATACCGACAATATTGAGACTCTTGTCCAGCGATCGTTCGCTATCACCGAAAAGTATCGGTTCGTCCGGCAAACTGTTTGTCCGTTTGACTAATTGCATGAACTGTGGATCAGTAAAATTGTAGACATTTGTAGTGAATTTGTCCCAAAGGGTGACAAATCGCGATTCTCTACCCTTTCGGACGGTCGACACCCAAGCAAACTGTGGCCTAAAGTCAGCAACAGTTAGATTATAGTGAGTATTGTGTGTGATTGCCATATTAGAGAGATTGTTGTCGAGTTGATACCAACTGATCCATGGGAAGCCTCTCTGTAATAGTATTAGTAGTAGAAGATAGTCAGACACACAGACAAACATGAAATAAATAATATATTCATACACTATATCAACACTATATCAACACTATCTCTATCTCTATCTCTATCTCTATCTCTATCTCTATCTCTATCTCTATGTCTATGTCTATGTCTATGTCTATGTCTATCTCTATGTCTATCTCTATCTCTATCTCTATCTCTATCTCTATCTCTATCTCTATCTCTATCTCTATCTCTATCTCTATCTCTATCTCTATCTCTATCTCTATCTCTATCTCTATCTCTATCTCTATCTCTATCTCTATCTCTATCTCTATCTCTATCTCTATCTCTATCTCTATCTCTATCTCTATCTCTATCTCTGTCTAACCCCACACCCAAACCCTCTTACCTCTCGTCCGCCAAATCGATGATAAGCATAATCATGTCCTTTAAGTCTTCCGGTATCACCCGAAGCGAACCATACGTTCCAAATCAGTTCGTATGTTTTTTCATTGATAATACTGGATTCACTGCCACCGCCGCCGACACTGTCGACAAATTCGACCGATTTGTTGGCCTCCGGACCGTCGGTAAACTTGAGACGCCAGTAATAGTTGTCGACAATCAAATACTTCATCCATTTGTCGTCCAGTTCTTTATCGGTCAGATTGTGATTGTAGACGCCGTAAGCAAACGATATCTTGTAGTCGTGAGCTTTGTATTTGTCGCAGAAGTCGATACCGCCGCCGGCGACCACCAGTGATGTCCGATCGCCGACAATAAGTATAACTGTCCACAAAACTACGGCTAATTTAATCATTGAATAATCAAAAAAAAAAATACAGTTATATATTACGGTATATTCAGATTTATTACTTATTATAAAAAACACAAAACAAAAATCAAATACCAATCAGACAATGAATATTCAAATAATTGTTAGTAATTGCAGATAAATAAAATGATATCTTCATCGATGACATTGTTTGTAAAAAATAAAAATTTGATGATAACTCACAAATCAGTTATAAAAAATACAAACAATTTTTTAATAAAGTTTTTTTTGAATTCAAACTTATAGCCAACAATTAATAATAAATTAATTGATTATTAATTGAATTTCATTATTCATTTAATTAGAAAAAATAATAAAATCTAAATTCAATTTACGAGACAATAATTAAACTATGAATTCATTATTTAAATTAAAATTAAATAACATTTATATTTTTGATTTATAATAATAATAAATGAATTCATAGTTTAATTATTGTCTCGTAAATTGTATTTAGATTTTATTATTTTTTTGTAGACTAAAAAAATATTATATACTTTTTTTATATCAATAATTGAAATAAACTCATATTATTATTATTATTAAAAAATCTCTAAAAAAACTAATCCATTAGTCTTTATAAAACATTGAAATGTTTGAACCAATAATTATCTGAACGACAATATAGACTAAAAAAAAGTATAATTTAATTATAAATAAAACTATTTTTTTGTACATTAATAATAATTTCATTTAATTAAACAAACAAAAAATTTAGCTTTCAATTATAATTTAGACTTTTTTAAAAAATAAATAAACAAAACAAAAACATTTCAATTTAATTGACAATAATTTTTATTCAAATAATTTTAATTCCTATGATTTTGATTTTTAATTCAAATAAATCAAAAAAATATTTTTTTATTATATAAATCATATCATTGAAAAAAAATAAATTTTATTTTGAAAAATAATTTTTTATAAGTAATATTAAAAAAAATACCACAAATTTTTTTGTTAATTATTGATAATTATTATTAAATATTATTAAAACATAAAAAATATCATATAATATCAATATATAGGATATATATAATAATTGATTAGATATTGGTTTTTCATTATAAAATATTTTTTTCTATTAAAATTAAAAAACAAACAAACCATTAAAATGTCAAATTGTATTATCAATATATAATAATAATAATAATAGCAATAATTAAACAGTAAAAAAAATTACATAACAATTTACAACAACAATCTTAAGTAATCAATGGTTAAATATAAATGACTTTTTTATAATATAAAAAATATTTTTTAAAAAAATGGCGGAAATACTAGATGGGTATTTAAATGGGTGATCGGCGGGCGGATATATATATGTGTGGCCACCAATACGGTTGAGACAATCATCAATCGGACAACCATTTCGGTTAAAAAACAAAAAAAGTTTGACTAATCACTGGCTAATCAGCCAATAGGCGTTCGCTGTCATCACTTAACATAATATATAGTTTATCTTTAATCCATTCCTTATGATAGGCAACATATGATTGCGAGGTCTTATTGAAGATCAAAAAGTTCAGATCAGTTAAGTGATCGACAAACTCAAACAGTTGATACAAATTGTAAGTCATTACGGTTTCGTTGGGAAACTGTTTCTTCAAAATTTCTTCATATATATGGCAGACACCATTGAGTGCGTCATTAAGACAATAGTAGTCCGTATAGCGTCGGGTCTTACCAGTACTGGCCTGGACTAGTAGTATGACGTGAGTGGCCATAACAAGTGTTGATTAGTAGGTGGTGGTGGTGATGGAGGAGGAGGAGGAATGGATCCAATTAGAAGTACTAATGTCTTTAATATAAAAAAAACTTTGCAAAAGCGGCTAAATAATAAAAAAATATATACATACAGTACCAATAATTTTTATTTTATTTTTGAAATTTTTTGTTGTATATTTTTTTAACACTTACTGTACAAAAAAAATCAGACTTTTAGTTTTAAACAAAATATGTTTTTTTCGTGCAATTCATATACACACACAAAAAAACAGCTATAATCTATTTCCCCCTCCTTTCCCACTCATATACAGTTTCCCACCACCAGTGTATGGGGTGGTCTTAACTTTAAAAAAAAGTATTTATATATGTGTGTGTATGTGTGTGTATGTATGTGTATATGTGTGTATGTGTGTGTATATGTGTGTATGTGTGTGTATATGTGTGTATGTGTGTGTATATGTGTGTATGTGTTTGTATGTGTGTGTATGTGTGTGTGTGTGTGTGTGTGTGTGTGTGTGTGTGTGTGTGTGTGTATCTGTGTGTATATGTGTGTATGTGTGTGTATATGTGTGTATATGTGTGTAAATGTGTGTATATGTGTGTCTGTGTGTGTATGTGTATATGTGTGTGTCTATGTGTGTATGTGTATATGTGTGTATATGTGTGTGTATGTGTGTGTGTGTGTATGTGTGTGTATATGTGTGTGTATGTGTGTGTATGTGTGTGTATGTGTGTGTATATGTGTGTATGTGTGTGTATGTATGTGTGTGTGTGTATGTGTGTGTATATGTGTGTATGTGTGTGTATGTGTGTGTATATGTGTGTATATGTGTGTCTGTGTGTGTATGTGTATATGTGTGTATGTGTGTGTATGTGTGTGTGTGTGTGTGTGTGTGTGTGTATGTGTGTATATGTGTGTATGTGTGTGTATGTGTGTGTATGTGCGTGTATATGTGTGTATATGTGTGTCTGTGTGTGTATGTGTATATGTGTGTATGTGTGTGTCTGTGTGTATATGTGTGTATGTGTGTGTATAGCTTACTAAATGTACTGTATTATACTGAAACAGTAATTACTTTTAATTTTTATTACAGAGTCTATATATTATTCGGGATTTAATGTAAAAAAACTGTAAACTACTAGTACTCATTGAGTACTACAAAGATTATATAATAATTTAAAATCAAATCAAATACACACAAATAGTAAAGATTTTAGTTTAAACAAATTTTCTGTACATTAATAATAATAATAATAATTTATTTTTAATATAAAAAAATTGTTTTTCAATTATATAATTATATATTTATTATATATTAGAAAATAAAATAACATTGAAAATGTTGCAAAATTAATACAGAATAATTTTTTTAATATTAATAATTTTATAATTTTTATATAATAATAATTAATAATAATAATTATTAATAATAATATTATTTGATTTTTTTACTAATTTCATTAATACAGTATTTATTATATAAATGATTTTTTTTATAAAAAAAATCGGCTAAATATCAGTGAATAGTGTTAATTGATCGCGGGTGGGAATATCTGGCCACCAATTTGGTGGCCAATCGGAAAACCATTTTTGGTGGCGTTATATATATATATATTATTGTCTGTTTCGCGATCCCTGTCCTCTCACTTCTGGCGTAACTTTAAATACAGTTTCTCTTTAATCCATTCTCTACTAAATGGGACGTATGAATGGCTGATCTTATTGAAGATCAAAAAGTTCAGATCAGTTAAGTGATCGACAAATTCAAAAAGTTGACACAAATTCCAGATAACTTCAGTACCGGTGGGTATATATCTCTTCAAATTTTGTTCATATATATGACAAACACCTTCGAGGGCATCGTTAAGACAATCGTAGTCCGTATAGAGTCGGGTATCCCGAGTGCTGGCCTGGACTAGTAGTATGACGTGAGTGGCCATAACAAGTGATGATGAGTAGGTGATGGTGGAGGTGGAGGAGGAGGAGGAGGAATGGATCCAATTAGAAGAACTGATGTCTTCAATCAACAATAATCAATGGTTACTATGAAAGTGCGATAAATACTAATAATAATTACAGTATTACTGAATATATATTCAATATATAGTTCTTTGAAATAAAATTTTTGTAAAATTTTTTATATATTTAATACCATTTACTATAATACTAAAAAAATCAAACTTTTTGTGTTTTAAAACAAAATTTGTTTATCAATGTGTAAGTCAAATAAAACAAAAAAAACAGTTATAATCATTTATCTCAAACACATACCGTTCCCCACAACCACCAGTTTATGGCTAGTTTTAAAAGTGTCAACTTTTAAAAATAAATGTATTTATATATCTACTACTGTATATTATGTTAATTGGTTAAATGTGTGTATGTGTATGTGTATGTGTATGTGTATGTGTATGTGTATGTGTATGTGTATGTGTATGTGTATGTGTATGTGTATGTGTATGTGTATGTGTATGTGTATGTGTATGTGTATGTGTATGTGTATGTGTATGTGTATGTGTATGTGTATGTGTATGTGTATGTGTATGTGTATGTGTATGTGTATGTGTATGTGTATGTGTATGTGTATGTGTATGTGTATGTGTATGTGTATGTGTATGTGTATACATGTGTGTGTGTGTTTATACCATATATTATTGGGGCCCCAATACAGACACCTCCATAGCTTACTACTGTATATATAGTGTAATAGTAATTACTTTTATTACATAAGCTATATATTATTTGGGGCCTTAAAAAATGTGTTTAACAATTATAATTTATAGTTTTATTACACAAAAAAATACATAACAATTATAATTAATCCATTATAATTTTTTGATGACAATTATTTGTTTTTATTTAAGTTTTCAAATTAAACAAACAAAAGGTAGAAAGTTAAAAGTGTCGGTGATATCGGACATATGCCGCCAAACAAAATCACACTTTGGACTTAAAAAATATAAAGTTTTCAATACTACTAATAATTTCTAGCAATATATTTTACATTAATTATATTTGCTTTAATTGATTATTTAAAAAAACAATATCATATACTATATTACTGTAATATATTTGAAAATATTTGTTAAGCAATATTTTTTTTAAAATATAAATTATAAATCTTGTATTAATTGTTTCGATTTAATAGTGTTTAAAAGTAATATATAAATTGCAATCTGAAAACATATATTTCTATAATTACTATTATATAATAGAAATAAATAAATTAATAATTATTATATTTCAATAGTTATAATGTAAATATAATTTACATTTATTTATTTTTTAAAAAAAAAATACTGCAATTAATGATTAATACATAATAAAAATGCTAAATTTTTTTGTTAAATGTATGTTTAAAATGTTAAAAAAATTAGATGTTATATAAATTTCATAATATTTCAAATATTACTATTTTTTAAAAAACTAAGTATTACTGATTTGAAAAATAATTAATAATTATTACTATTTTTTATAAATTAC